GGGTGCGGGGGGAAGGCGCTCGGCGCCGCCTGGGTCCCCATCCCGGGGCAGATCCGCCCAGGCGGGACTTTTTCCTCCCGTGATCTTCTTCCAGTGTGCCCTGACCACCACGTTCAGCTCTGCGTGCTGTCAGACTCAAGCCAGGCTCTGCTGTGCTGATGAATTCGGGTTTTCTTCCCGAGACCTGTCCAGATCTGGGACTTGTTTGGGGTTTTTCCAAACTCAAGGCAACCCGGTCCAGTGGAGGGTGTCGCTGCCTGTGGCGAAGGGTGGAACTGGACAATCTGTAAGGTCGCTTCCAACCCAATCATTAGAGGATTATGTAAAAATAATGCCAGAGTGCTTTTGTTTCCCTTATCTCCTGAGAATGAGCCAGCACACTCCTTTGTGAGAAAGGGAGGTGGCCTTCGATTAAAAAGCCACTTGTTCCCAAGCTGTCACTGCCTGGCCCGGCACAGACGGTCCATCAGAGCCAAGAACTCCCTCCCTGGGTGTCTCCGAGTTGTGTAGAGCAGCCCTTGAATCCTGTCCTGCCCTCACCCAGGCCTGCAGTAATCCTTCCACTGCTTGCCTAATCCTGTTGGTGTAACAGTAAACAATCCTAAACAGCCACTGTCAGATGTCTTAAGAGTACTGAACTTAAGGTGGAGAGACCACAGGGGTGCCAGCAGCTCAGACACAGGAAAAAAACAAACCCCCAGGATGGCCAAGGGGATGTTTGTGTGCAGGCATAAGGATTGTAGAATATCCCATAGGGATCATCAAGTCCAGCTCCTGGCCCTGCTCAGGACATCCCCAAGTTGTTCTCTGGGCTGCTCTTAACAGCTGGGGGTTATTCTCAGAGTCCTAACAAGGCAAGAGCCTTACCTGGCTCTCTCCTGGCAGGTTAAACACTGGTGGAGGTGAAGGTGGCTGTTGCTGCTGCTGGTTCCCAGTGGTGTTTGTAGAAGGTGTCAGTACAGAACGGAGTTTCATTGATGTGCTGGCTCTGCTTTAAGCAGTACCCACTGCATTGAAGTCTGAAGGAGCTGTTTGTATGGCGTGGACCTCTCTCCAGGATCCTGATCATTGCCTGGGAGGGATCTGTGGAAAAACAAGGCTTCATTTTAGTACAGTTGCACTCTCTCACTTGGAGTTTCATCCCTGTGGGAAGGGGCTGGTAGTACAGATTTTGGAGGGGTTTCTTTTTTACATTTTAATTGTATTGTTGAAACTGCTGAGCAGCCTGCAGAGGCTCTGCCCCATTTGCTCTGGTTCCAAGCTGCGATTACAGCCAGACAATGTGTGCCACAGCCTGCTGGAGCAAAACCTGGCATCACCTGGAACAGGCATAGTCCAGGGCTTAGGGTAAGACCAAGGGTCAAGTGTTTTCCTGGTAGGACAAGGAAATGAGAAGAACAGATACTGACAAACTGAAGCCATTTGGAAAAGGTTTAAAAAAGCAGTAAGAAAAGGTGCTGGAGTCTCACAGGTGAATTCACCTGTCCTGACCCCATCAGTTGGACACAAACAAAAGCCTGAATTTCCGACTTCTTGAAGGGAAGGTCCCCTGTTCTTTATTCCCCTCTTTGATTCCTGGAGCTCAGCTATGCTGGTTGGGATGAAGTTTGGAAATTAGTACTACTTCTCTCCATCCATCATTTCTACAGGTTTGTACTTTGGGGCAATTTCTGTAGTTTATAAACTTTGAAGTTTGCTGTATATTGTGACTGCAGCCCGGTTGTTCTGTACTCTGGAACAAACCAGCCTTCAGGCAGTGTTTAAACACCATTCGGTGCTGATGTGCTCTGTCATTAACAAATGTTTACATTCTTACCTGGTTGAGCAAAACCCTTCTGATTTCTCAGGCTGGCTGGCTGTTTCAAACAGGCTGGTTTTCTTTCCTCAGCCATAGATGAGTACAAACCCCTGGATGCCACCACAAACCCCTCCCTGATCCTTGCTGCGGCTCAGATGCCAGCATACCAGAAGCTTGTGGATGATGCTGTTGCCTATGGGAGGAAGCTTGGTGGGTAAGTAAAGAGGGGTTTCATCTCAGCAGACCTGTATTTAAAATGCCTTATTTATATACAAGCAACCTACTGGGGTTTCCCCCTCATGTACTTGTGGGTTTGCCTCCTGCCCCAGAAGGCCTCAACACTGAGGAAAACTCCTTATGCCCATTCCAGATGTGTTTTTCAGAAGTGCATTCTCATTTCCCAGCTCACACCTGGCCCTCCTTGCTCAGGAAAGCAACAGCATTACAGGAAAGTGTCCAAAGGCTAATCCTGCTGACAGGACAGAAGTGGCTCATTTGAACTCTGGAATTTAATGTTAAATGGGCTGTGAAATTTGATCTTCAAATCTGCACCAAAGTATAAACTCACCTTTTTTTTACTTCCATAAATGCTTTTGCTCTTTGTGGTTTTCAGGTCAGAAGAGGAGCAGATCAAAAATGCTTCTGACAAACTTTTTGTATTATTTGGAGCTGAGATCCTGAAGAGGATACCTGGCCGTGTATCCACAGAAGTAGATGCAAGGTTGGCTCTTATCCCTCTGGGTTATCCTGGATATTTGTAAATACAAAATGTGACCTGAGTTGGAGAAAGTTTTTTTTGTCTAGAAGACCAGTGGGACTTAAATTATTAATAATGGATTTCCCTAAGTTTGACTAGAACTCTGTAACAAAAACAAGAAGCACTGACCTTGGATTTTCAAAATCTTCCTTTTGCTGCTTAAGCAAGGGAAACCTCACACTTCCAGTCATAGTTTTGCTAATTCTCTTCTAAGTGATAATAGCTGCTCAATTTAGCAAGAGATCTGTTTGAACAGTTTTTTTCAAGACTTGCACAGGACTTGGTTGTTAACTTGCTCAATGCCAATTTTTGTTAATGCTCAGCTTCTGAATTCATTATGAGAAACTTCCTTCGAAGGGCTGACAGTCCAGGAGGGATCTGAGAACACAAACCTGCTGTTGGCATATAAATGCTGTTAAAACAGGACAGTGTTTTTCCATGGGGCCTTGGGGGAGAGAATTAAAAAAAAAAATCAGTTTTAAACAGTGCCACTCTTGCTTTAAAGGTTGTCCTTTGATAAGGAAGGAATGATTCAAAGGGCAAGGCGCCTCATTGACCTCTACAAGGAAGTAGGAGTTGGTAAAGATCGGATTCTCATCAAGCTCTCTTCAACGTGGGAGGGAATCCAGGCTGGCAGGTAAGGCTGTGTGTGCCTGGCGTGCTGATTCGTGGCATGCTCCTGCCTGTCCACAGGCACTGACATCGCATTCTGCACTTGAATAAACAGCAGTGCTGAAAGCACGGCATGAGGAAGTCTGTCATGAGCACGGAAGGTGCTCTGCCACAGCTTGCTGTTGAAATAGGCAACGTTTCTTCATACAAGGGCCACAATTTCCTGAAATACCCTGCTAAGCTGGCTGCATTTGGCTAGAGGAACAGCATTAATAAAGCAGAGTTTGGCAGCATGAAACATTTGCTCTTAGCTGACGGTTTTAAAGCTTACTAAGTGCACCCCATTCCTAAATTAAGGAATTCAGTAGTTTGTACTTAGCAGCTCATTCCTGAATATGAATTCCATAGGTGAGCAAAGTGCTGTTCTAAGCCAGCCTGTGTCTGCAGGGTTCTGGAGGCCGAGTATGGGATTCACTGCAACATGACCTTGCTGTTCTCCTTTGCTCAGGCTGTTGCCTGTGCTGAAGCTGGAGTTACTCTGATTTCTCCGTTTGTGGGACGGATCCTGGACTGGTACATTGCAAATGGAGACAAGAAAACCTATGAGCCTTCAGAGGATCCAGGTGAGCACACATTTAACACTGCTGAGAAAACAACAGCTGCTCATTCAAACAGTTTACTCATAAAAATCCTCTTATGGCAAAATGCTGGGTTTAAGCATGTTCTAAATAATCACAATAAAGTTGCTGGTTTCTACATGTAGGAGTGAAGAGTGTCACCAAGATCTACAACTACTACAAAAAGTTTGGGTACAAAACCATCGTGATGGGCGCCTCGTTTCGCAACACAGGCCAGATCAAAGCGCTCACAGGCTGTGACTATCTCACCATTTCACCCAAGCTCCTGGCAGAGCTCAGCAAAGAGCACGTCAAGTTAACTCCCACACTCAGTGTCAAAGAGGGTGAGTCTGCTCCTGGGGGCTTGTTCCAACTTTCTTTCTTCTGCAGTGTTCAGAGTCTGGGGTTCTGGTCAGTGCTGTGGTACTTGCCGCCATCCTGCTTTAGGGATAAATCCAATTTCCTAGAGGAAATATTGTAGCCTCTTTACAATACCAGTGCTACAACTGCTGATGCTGAGATCTAATTGGATTACAGTGGGTTTGGAGTGTGCTTCCATACTCTGCACCTCTCCCCCTGGACAGGCAAAGAGGAAAGTTAATCTGCACATGCTCAGGGATGAAATTTTACTGAACAGTAGCAAAGATGGCAAACTTGGTTTCATCTTAATCTCTAGACATGCCAAGAGGTTTTTTCCCTCCAGAAACTGGAAACTAATCATATACAAGACTGAGTGATTTGATCTGGTGACACTATGCCACGATGGCTTGGAATCCTTGTTCCCATTACATTACTTCAAGGCCAGGTTGGACAGGGCTTGGAGCAATCTGGGATGGTGGACGGTGTCCCTGCTTGTGGCCAGGGAGCAGAACTGAATGGGCTTTAAGGTTCCTTTCCACCCAAATAATTGAAGGAATCTCTGATAATTCAAGTAATCCCTGTCCTGCAGCCTCATTAGAATACTGGTTTACATCTCAGAAAGCAGCTCTGTGTACAGCTGTAGCCCTGGGTTGCTGCCCACAGGCTGCTGCTGGCCTGGGAGCCTGCTATCAAGTGAGCTTTTGTTAGTTCTTGCCAAATAATCAAAGCCCTGATTGTTCACAATATTTACTTAGAATGTCTCAGTGCTGTGGGGCAGTTGCACAATTCCTTAGAATAGGCCTGGAATTGCTGTGCCATTCTGCAGCAGGTACAAGATAATGACACACACAAACACTGTTTTAAGATAAACTGATTTATTAGGCTACCTTTTTCCTCTTTGTTCTCCTCCAGCCATATCAGGAGCACTTTTACTCTCACATCCCAGACTGCAAGCAAGTGCTCTTGCAGCAAGTCATACTGAAAGTATTTAAAATTTTTCCAACACATAGAAATGGTCAGAACTCAAGACAATTTTAAGAAGGTAAGAAACTGATCACCTGGTCTGTTTTTTTTTCTACTTCTGCACAGCTCAGGCGTGCGATCTTGAGAAGATCCACCTGGATGAGAAGGCATTCCGCTGGCACCACAATGAAGACCAAATGGCTGTGGAAAAGCTCTCTGATGGGATCAGGAGATTTGCTGCAGATGCAGTTAAGCTGGAGAGGATGTTAAAGGTGGGTATCACACTCCTCCTGTGTGCTGCAGCCAGCCTGGTGTGGCTGAGGATTAAACAAGTCTGGTCAGGTCATTGGACAGGTTAAGTAGGACAAGCCACCTAAATTCAGTGAAGTTGGTAAGCCTCACTGCACACCAAGAAATTGGCTTTGGTGCCAGGTGTGGGCCATACCTGCAGCTTGAGGCTGCAGGGCTGGCAACTCATCAGGATAATTGTCAAAATGAGAAGTCCCTTTAAGTCTGATTCTGAGCTCTCAGCAGCATACAGGACACAAATAATCTGCAGGTAGTGAGCTGGAAATGAATTATGTTTGTACTTGCAGGCACTAAGAAAGAGCAGATCTGCTGTCAAAGTCTTATGTTAGATTGTGGAAAGGCTTTCACAGGGATTCATCAAACTGTTTTTTGGGAAAGAAATACTCAGTATACCTGATCTAGGCACTTGGTGACTGGCAGCTCCTTGCAGCATTCCCAAACTCTTACTTAGCTGTGTTTTGTTTATTCTTTTTCTAGGAGCGAATGTTCAGCACTGAAAATGGAAAATAAAAAAAGAAAAAATAATAATCAGTATTTCCCTGAGTGCTCCAAGCTGAGGTGGATCACCTGAGGTTCAGTGGATGTACAAATGTCTTACCTGTACAAGTATCATGCTGTGTATGGATAGGTTTCTGTATCATGCTTTTTTTTTATCAATTTGCAAAGGGACAAATGGAATTTCAACTTTTGGTGGCACTTTTGTCAATAAATGCAGATTAAAACCGACTTGCCTTATAACATGGTCAATTCATTGCTGCAGGAGACACCTGATAGGATTTTAATTTTCAAATTCCCAATTAAGTTTCTAGTCCTAACATATAGAAGAAAAGTTTTTAATTTCATGTTGTTTTGAAGAGCAGGCACAGATTTCACAAGCCACTCTTGGTACAAAACCCACAAATACTCCTGTGAGATATATGTCAAAATATGTATGTGTATCTTACTTGTTTATATAGATCCTGTTCTATAAAGAGGAGACAAGAACAAGTGATAGGACAAGAAGGAAATGGCATCAAGTTGTGCCAGGGAAGGTTTAGCTTGGATATTAGGGAACATTTCTTCACTGAAATCTGTCCAAGCTGGCACAGCTGCCCAGGGCTGAGTCCCCATCCCTGGAGAGATTTCAAAGGCACATGGATGTGACACCTGGGGACAGGGATAGCGGTGGCCTTGGCAGTGCTGGGGGAATGACTGGACTTGATTGTCTCAGCAGTCCTTTCCAACCTCAGTGATTCATTCCATGGTTTTAAGAGATCCCTGCTTATATGTGGATGCAATTTGCTGTTTCCTGACAAAGCTGCCTGAGCTTAAAGGGAGAAAAGGCAGCAGTGTGGCTCCAGCGCTGATGGGAGCCACTGATTCTCCCTGCAGTGTGACACAGCAGCTCTGCTGTCAGCACATCCAGAACAGCCTGGGAGCTGCTGTTCCAGCCAAAGGGACAGTCAGACACAGACAGCTGCTGCCCTCCCAGCCTGCCCTGGGAACAGTGCCAGTCTGCCAGAGGGAGGTGAAATCCCCAGGGGACTCATCCAGACCCTTTGTCCTACAGCTGTTGGCGAGGGGGGAAGCAGACCAGGCAGAAAGCAGGCTGCCCAAAGGGAGGTGACCTTTTTTCCTGTCAAAGTCAAGCCAGCACTAAAAACTTGAGCCTGTCCCTCCTTACAACCATCGGACCCTCCACTGCACATCTCTTCTCAATTTAACCTATTTTGTATTTTTCACTTACTAAACTGAGAATTCCAATAGAAGTTCTTGGAATGGTTTGGGTTGGAAGGGGACCTTTCAACATGAAGCATGAGCAGGTTGCTCTAACACCATACAGTGCACCCACCAGGGGAGGGTAGGGATTTGGGCACACAGAAACTGGGGACTTGGTGCTATCCAAGTGGCTGGTCAGAGGCTTGGAGCCTCTGGAATAAATGCCCCTTTTTCCCCCTGAGTGAGGCAAGAACCTTCACATGTATGGAATTTGTCCCTCACATAGGTGAGACACAACTGGGCCAGTGACACCGTGGAGCTGAAATGAAACTGAAGCATTGCAGAAGGTGCTCAAGAGAGAATGAAGTACTGCAGTGAAAAGGGATAAAGAAGTAGGAAAAGGTGCCTGGGTAACAGTTACTCCACTTACAGCCAGGTGTCTCTCAGGAGCTGAGGGGACAAGAGGGGTCACGAGGTCAGTCACGGGATCCCTTCCTTCCTGTGGTGGCAGCTGGTGTTTCCTCCTCAGCACTGGGGTTGTTTCTCTGCAGCACAGATGTGAGGTGCCTGACATCCGTGGCTAAGCCGCAAAGTCCACATCCTTTCTGAAATGGAGAAAAATAAAACCAAGCACCACATAAACCTTCAGCTTGTACAGCTCTTTAGTCAGTCACTCTTTAACTCTTCCTCAACTTCCCCTTTGTTCAGCAGATGGAGGGATCTCTCTAAGGGCTCTGCCTGTGTCCTGCTTACAAACTCCTTCTGGGATTTCCCAGATCTCCATACCTCCTCAGATTAAGAAATCAGGAGACGTCTCTTGTCTCCCAGGAAGGTCTATGGCTCTCACAGTCACAAGGACAGGACTCAGGAATTAGGGGTAGATACAACATGTATGTTTGGAGAAATCCCGAAGAATCAATAGATAAACTTTAAAGAATTGATTTAAAAAAGACAGCACCTTTCTCAGCCTTTCCTTGTGGTGGCTGTTCTCTTAATTCCAACATCCAGCTCTGTGCAAACATACAAAGCTTGGAGGGGGGTTGGAAAAGCTTTTCCTTCCTCCTCCAGCCATGCCTTGCATCCCATTGCACACTGTGCTAAGGGAGAGACACTGCTGCTCCCAGAACCTCCTCCATTCTTGAAACGGGGTACAGGAAAGCAGACACAATAAATACATCCATTTATATTCATCTTCCCAACATGGAATTTAATTTAATATTAGTCCTTATATTTGTTGATCATGTCTATCCAATGCAGCCATCACAGGCCAGTATGGATGGCACCAAACCCAGACAGTTCCATTAAAAATTTTTAAACAAATCAAGACCAAAGAGCCACTTCCATCTTTTCTGGCCCTTGTTTGAATGCACACAAGATGAATAAAGGAGCAGGTTCCATTTTAAAATAATTTTTTAAAATAAAATTATCCTGTGGAAGCTCCAAGATAATAATCTTAATTAAGTATGTTAATACACAAATTGAATGCTGGTATGACCAACAACCACCAGCTGCAGACAGGGCCAGAGCTCAAACACCTTGTCAGGATCCTCAAGAACATGAAAACTGAGATCATACATACACCCACTGGCAGCTCTTGGGGCTCTGTTTCCCAGAGTTAAGCAGTTTCCCAGCTGCTGCACCAGCACCCCTCTTCCCAGCTCGGGTGTAAACCTGCCAGAAAAGGCTCCCATACCTTAGAGATGGTGGGCTGTCCTCTTTTTGGTGAAGAAATCCTTTGTGAGGTGCAGGACGGCAGTGCTCCTTTACAGCTGTGAGCCAACATCCAAAAAAACTCATCCCTTTGGATTCATCGTGCTCCACATGCTGCAGGGGCACTCTGATGCTTCCAGCAGATACCTCCATATCTGCCTGTAAAAACATCAGAAGAAAACAGAGGATGTGGTCCCAGCTATTAAGCCCAGAGAGGAGGTAACACTGTGAGTCTCAAAAAAATAAATCGGTAAAACCCTAGAAAATAAAATTAAACCCCCACCCAAATAAATAAAACAATAAAACCCACCAATTGGATGTTACCAGGAAGAGGTTTCCAAGGAAACAAGCCTGCCTGGTACCATTCCTATGACCAAAGCACCAAGCACTGCCCAGGACAATGCTGAAAAAATAAAGGTTTGTGTGGGATGAAAATCTCCCAAATTTGAAGGTTTTCAATTATTTGGGAAACAAAGGAGAGACAAAAATCCCTCAATATAAACACCACTGCTTGGATGCCTGGGATGGGATTGTTCACAGGGCTCTTCAGCAGGACCAGGCACAGGTACAGAAGATAAATTCTTCACACACAAGTTTAAAATGCAAGAATTATACAAAAATCCTTGCTCTTTGTGTAATGCCACTTCATGATTTTAATTGATGTAAATACCTTTTAGGTAAAAGAAAATAAAATACAAAAAAAAACCCTATCAAGTTTTACATTTGTAGGACAAAATTAACATGGAAAATGAACAGAATAAAACTTTCCTGAACATACCTGGATGATATGCAACAACTTTGTGTTTCCTATGTTCATTTGATCTTCTTTTCCCACATTTTTCTGAACAATTTTTTTCCAATCCCTGACTAAAATTGGTCATACCGTACAAGAACTTAAGAGCTATCATCACTAACGGCCTCAAGTTGTGCCAGGGGAAGTTTAGGTTGGATATTAGCAAAAATTTCTTCATGGAAAGGGACATCAAAAATTGGAATAGGCTGCCCAGGGCAGTGGTGGAGTCACTACCCCGGAAGGGTTCAGAAGACACATGGATGTGATACCTGAGGCTGAGTGGTGAACATGGTGGTGGTGGTGCTGCACTGATGCTTGGCCTTGACCTTAAAAGCTCTTTTGCAACCTAAATTCCATGATTCTATAACTCAGGTGGCTTCCAGTTTGTCAGCATGACTTGTGAAGGTGACACAATCCAACCTCACTCAGCTGCTAGCCACACCTGCACACATAACCTCTCCAGCCACTTGCTGCTCCACCACACCTTTCTCCCCCAGTTTTCCCAAGAGCAACTTCATGGTGTGATAGGAAAGAGTGAAAGTACACACAGGAATTCATCTTTTTTCTACTCTCCTATGGGAGGAAAAAGAAAGCACCATCAAGTCCCCAAGCAGTGTGCTTTGTCCAACTTCCTGACAGAGGCACAAGCAGAGCAATTCCAGCAGGTCCTGGATGCCACAAAAATAAGGGAAAATTGTACAACAGGGGACTGAACAAAGCCTGCAGTGGTCTGGAATGCTGTTTGCTCACTTGGCAGCAGACGAATGAGCCTGGACAGAACCTCATTCAAGGAATGAAAACAGGACACAGGGTAGACACCAATGTTCTATTTTTACAGGTAAGCAGTGAACAGATGTAGCGATTTTGGCAAAATCCCATGGAAATAGAGTCTCCCACTTCACAAACAAGATGTGGCCTTCCAGACAGGAAGTACTCCCTGATGGTGTCAATATCAAATCCCCAAGATGGCTTGACTGGAATGAAGATTTAAATTATCAAAGCAAATTGATAATTTAATATCTATCAAAGCCCACTTTTCATTTCAAATTCTGGTTTTCATTTCCATCAACGCCAAAGATCTGTAAGCTGGGCTCAAGAATGCAACAGCAGAAGACCCAGCAAAACCCACAGCAATCTGTCTTCTAAAATCACATTGACTTCTTAAGACAGAGGTAAAAAAATGTGTTTCCACAGAAAAACAAAATTTCCCCACTTGATGACTTGTTAGAACCAAAATATTGTAATATCCTGGTAAGAAAACAAAAATGCAATCCCATTTCT